AGATGAACTGCCTCCATGGTTGCTTCCGATGTCAAGGACAGCCTCTGCCGATTCTGGAAGGAGTTCCTCAGCTGGATGTATCGAAATGTCATTGTAGTGCATCCATAGTTGCCGGAGATTTGATCAGTACTCTAGTTCAGCCAGCGGCAGCGCATCGTGTGGATTGTGTACTTGAGGGAGCACGTGTTATCGCGATTTGGCAAGGGTGCGGGACCCTGAGTGAAAAGATCGCATGGATCTGCGACCCGTTGCACCGTCGGATAACTCCACGCAGTGTTGCTCTGAGCTACGCATTCTTCCGTTCCAGATGTCTGCACATTTCGGTGATGGCGGGCATGGTCTCAGCGGACGACATCATGCGCCATTGGCCAATTCCCAGGGTGGCACTGTGATGTTCCCACCATTTTCGAGCTTGGATGGAGGATCTCGACAAGAACCACGTGGAAGGTGGCTAGAGAAGCGGTTGGTGCAGAACATCGCAAGATGGTCATCGTGGTACCGATTGCCTCCATCGTCTGAAACAGGTTGGAAGTCAGCTGCGGGACACCAAGATCTTTTATTATAAACAGTTCCGCGACATTCATCTGAGGAAGACTGAGCTATTCGATGATCAACTCGGTCACGTCATCATCGTCTTGCCTCCCACCGAACCTAAGCCAGGAAGTTGGTTGTCTTTAGTAGCGGCTCAAGCAATGTGGCTGCAATGCGGATGTCGTGTTTACTTGGTAGCCGGACCTCGACCGCAGGACTTGAACTCGTGGTACAGAGTCGCGATCCAAGCCAGATCGCATCTGAACGGATTCCTGGAAGACCACATGGAGCTGATCCCGCAGGTGGTGGACAAGTTGATTGCCTGAAAATGGTCTCGTCGACCCCACAGCTCCGTCCTATGCGGTGGCAGTCATGGAGAATGAAACTGGATGGCTGCCAGAGCGGCACGTGCGACTGTTTTATCAATACCTATCGCGGCATTTGGCACAGTACATTGCCTTGGAACCCCTACCTTCGCCAATTCAGTCCCCGTCAGAACACTTCGACTGGAGAGCCGTCGAAGGGCGACGGGAGGGCGTGGTCACCCCGCCGTGAAGGCAGGAGGAGTTGGCAAAAGGACGCTGCGGAAGCAGGAACAAAGGAAAAGACGCAGCCAGGCACGCGCATTAGCCAAGAATATGGGGGAGCTGAATCTTGACCGAGTGTAGCGGTCAATTCTTTTAGGGCCCCGCGTGTTGAATATGGGTTTAATAACATGAAGTTGC